TTTGCAGCAAGTTCGCGGTGCAAAGTTCGGAGGTTTGCATGGAAAGTTTGCAGCAAAGTTTATGGACGTATAAAAATGTCTGCCCGATTTAAAGTTTGCAATGCAAACTTGCTACAAGTTTTCACGGAAAACTTACAAATAATTTTATAGCAAACTTGAGAATAATTTGCCGCAAACTTTCTAAAAAATCTCAACGTTAACGTATCTCAACTGTCATAGAAAACTAATGCGCAGACATTTAAGTTTAACTTTGCCATGCAAATTTTCAGCAAGTTTGCATTGCAAACTTTAAATCGGGCAGACATTTTTATACATCCATAAACTTTGCTGCAAACTTGACATGCAAACTTCCGAACTTTGCACCGCAAACTTGCTGCAAACTTTCTGAAAAATGTTGTGCTATATGGGTTGCTTTTCAAAAATGTCGTCTCCCATGGACCTTTTTTTGAACGTAAAATCATTCCAGCGTGGCTGAAAAGTCGTTTGACAGGAGCCGATGATGGAAGGATTGTATTGTACTTACAAAAAAGATCTTTGATTTTTGATAACGCATTAAGGGTCTGTCCAGTCCCACGGCGGCGTGAAAAAGGAAAATGAAAAGCGTTTAACCAATAAAAACATTCGATTCAAAGGAAATAAGAAGATTTCCATTGTAGCATAAGTTCCTATTATCTAACGCTTTCCGCTTTCACGCTGCCATGGGGGTGGACCTTTAATTGAAAGGTTTTAATTCAGCAGTGAAAATTTGCATTACTATTGAATAGTACTGAAAATGGAAATGGAATTTTAAATGGAAAATAGGTTGTAAATCTATTTAAAATAGAAAATGCAAAATGGTTGTTTCATTTCTATTTGAAATATAAAATAGAAAATGCCATTTTTCATTTCAAATAGGTATTTCAAATAGATTCATTTCAAATATTTACCCAGCTCTGTTTATCAGTGTAAATGTGCAAAAAGATAGTTCTATTAGAGTTACGATTAACCTGTAAATTTTATTAAAAAATATTCAATTGTTTATTTTTTATAAACAATTTAAATTTTATGCATAACATTTTTAAAAAATGCATAACTTTGACAAAAATTTACGAAATTTGATGATTCTTTTTGCAAATTAACTATGAAATTCCAAACTTTATAAAAATAATGTTTACTCCATCGAAGCTCTTAATTTGTTATAAAAAATAATTATTTATTATAAACAAATTAAAAATAAAACGTGTTCTGGATAACCATATTCAATTTTATAAATAAGAACTTTAAGAGAATTTATTAAGGATTGCATATCAAAAAGAAAAAATTGTTTCAAGCAAATATTTTATTAATTATGAAGTTTTTTGTAAGCGCGCGCAAGCTCCGTGATGTGGGCTCCCGCGTCTGACGAATGTCGTGTGCCCCGCTTTGCACGCTTTAACTTGTTTATTTTGGAAGGTTTTCTTTCATAATTTTTTCAAATTTGGTTTGTATGTTTTGATCTAAAATTCAATTGGAATACTTGTTTATAATAAAAATAGTAATATATTATTTTATTTATATTTATTTATGTAATCTATTTTAAGTTTATTGTTTAATTGTTTTCAGTTGAATATTTCTTGCTTCCAGAAAAACAAGTTTTAACTAATTTTTTTGTATTTTATAATTTAAACAAGTTGTAAATCCAGATGTTCATTACAATCATGAACATTTTGCTTCCTCTTTACGATCAGCAAAAAAAATTTGCTTCTTCGTGGAGGAAGCATTAACGGTAAATATATTTAATTTTTAAATCATTAATAATACAATTATTTGACATTTATGAAATAAAGTTCATTCGTCCTAATAGAAAGAATAACATTTTCTTATACAGTAATATGAATCTAAATAAACAAAAAAAAGTGAATTTTTGAACTTTAATTGTAATTAATTAATAATTAATAATTAATAAAAATTAATTAATTAATTAATTAATTAATTTATAATTTTCAATAGAATATATACTTTATATACATCAATCGATTCGTCTTGATGCAAAGAATAAGATTTTTGATTTATTTTTTAATAAATAATAACATTTTATTGTACAGCAACATGATTTAAAAAAAATGAATTTTTATTAAAAGTGCAAATTTTTTGTCTATAATTGGTTTTAATTCTATAAATTTAAATACAATATATACTTTATATATACCAATAGATCCGTCTTGGTGCAAAGAATAAAAATTTAGAAATAAATGAGTAAGATTTTCTTATACGGCAACATAATTTTGCGGAAAGATCTCATTTTTTGATAAAAATGCGAATTTTTAAGCTTTAATTGTGATTAACTCTGTTAATTCTCATACAATTTATACTTTTTATATACTAATCGATTCGTCTTCATGCAAAGAATAAGATTTTATTATATATTAACTTCAATAACCAACTTAAAAAAATTTTTTTGAAAAAAATTTTTTTTTAGAAAAAAGTAAAAAAAAATTTTTTTTGAGAATTTTTTAAAGTCTATCAATCTATTTCGAGATATTTTTATGATAAATATACCTGGTAAATTTTAGCCAAATTCGTTAAAATCTCTTCGAGTTATCGTGTTCACAAAAATCGGGATCCATACACACACACATCCATACATACATCCGGACAATTGTTCAGGGTCTTATATAACATAGTCCAATATAGAAGAAAATTTGTTAGAAGGATTTTTAAAAATTTTGTAAATTAAACGACTACAAAGCTTCCTCACGAGGAAGCAAAATATTTTTAATTTACTTGTAAACTTCCGTACCTATTAAAATTAAAAAGTAGTAATACAATATATTTTACTACTAAACAGATTAAAATATTTTTATGAGTGTTTTAATGCAATCTGCTCGGTAAGCATAATGTGGTAAAATTTTGTTCAAAATTACTTGAAGGTAAAAAAAATTTTACTCAAACTGAAAGGATTTTTATAAAATTTATTTTATAAAAAAATTATATTGTAATGTATATGTATATAAAATAGATTTTTTAAAAATCCTTTCAGTTTGAGGATTTTGTAAAATTTTATTTATAAAAAGATAATATTGTAATATAAATTTTTTAAAAGTTCTTTCAGTTTGAGTAAAATTTTTTTTTACTTTCACGTAATTTTGAACAAAATTTTACCACATTATGCTTACCGAGAAAATTGCCTCAAAACCCTCATAAAAAATTAGTTTTTAGTTTTAAACTTTTTAGTTTGTTTAGTAGTAAAATATATTGTATTACTACTTTTTATTTTTCATAGGTACGAATGTTTACAAGTAAATATATAAAATTATAGAATTAAAAAAAATCAGTTAAAACATGTTTTTTTCGAAGCGAGAAATATTCAACTGAAAACAATTAAATAACAAAAAAATAGTTTTGTTTTAAGCAGATTCCTTTTTTTTAATGCATATTTTCCTCTTGAATATGGCTCAAAAACAATCCTCTTATCTTAAGAGCAAAATACTCTTCCATTAAGTGTAATATTCTTGATTCAAGAGGAATTTTCCTCTCAAAAGAAGAATATTTTTTTTCAGTGAATAAACTTAAAATAGAAATTATAAATAAATAATATAATTAAAATAATGTATTACTATTTCTATTATAAACAAGTATTCCAATTGAATTTTAGATCAAAACATACAAACCAAATTTGAAAAAATTATGAAAGAAAACCTTCCAAAATAAACAAGTTAAAGCGTGCAAAGCGGGGCACACGACATTCGTCAGACGCGGGAGCCCACATCACGGAGCTTGCGCGCGCTTACAAAAAACTTCATAATTAATAAAATATTTGCTTGAAACAATTTTTTCTTTTTGATATGCAATCCTTAATAAATTCTCTTAAAGTTCTTATTTATAAAATTGAATATGGTTATCCAGAACACGTTTTATTTTTAATTTGTTTATAATAAATAATTATTTTTTATAACAAATTAAGAGCTTCGATGGAGTAAACATTATTTTTATAAAGTTTGGAATTTCATAGTTAATTTGCAAAAAGAATCATCAAGTTTCGTCAATTTTTGTCAAAGTTATGCATTTTTTAAAAATGTTATGCATAAAATTTACAGGTTATTCGTAACTCTAATAGAACTATCTGTTAGGTATCAAGTCTAGTTTGACTTGAATTTGAATTTAATAAGTTATAAAATGACTAAAATTATGTCATTTGGAATGTTGGGTTGAAAACACATTAAAAAGAAAGAAAACATCATAGATTAATACATATATTTTAAATACAAGATTACAAAACTTATAAATTTCCGTAGATTTTATGTATTAGATGTTTCTATTTTAAGGGATAAAAGTGTTCTGTTTTACAATTTTGCAAGTGTCAGTGTAGAATTTGGTGGAGGAGGAAATATATTAGAGAAGGGATGAATCGCTGAGGGGCGGATACCTTAAGATGATGAGAGGAGTGGTCATTTTAAGGGTTTATAAGTTGTTTTTACAATTCAAGTGTTTTTCTTAGGTAGGAAGGAAAGATCATTTGGACGTGATATATCTTTATGAGCCTTTTTAGAAACTTAATCCTAAGAAAGAATTACAGATTTTATGATTTTATTGCAGTATGAAATGGTATTATTTTTCATATGCTTACAAATAGAAAATTGAAAACATTTTTAAGGAAAAAGAGAATTAGATATTTTAGTCTCTTCCTAAAATAACATTTTGCGGAATTTGTACTTTACAATAAAGTAATAAACTTGAAAGGTTGAATATTTTGGGAAACTATAATATGTTTTTTTTTTATTATTTTACGGTGGAGAGAGTTGTACCTTTTTAACTATCGTAACATACTGCCCCCCTTTGAACAATAAGTGTTCAAAGGAAATGAACGAAGACATATCATATGTCTGTATATTGTGTTATCATCGGTGTACAAGTTGTAAATACTAATTAAACTTAATTGTTTTGTTAATATAGCCTTATGTTTGACAATTACAACCTTTAACATTTCGAACAAATATAACAATCAATGAGTGAAACACAAGTAACATTTCTTAGATAATCAATTATGAAACTGCATTTTCGATATTTTGTTCATTTGGTAATGGGCATATGTTCTTAACACTTCGCTTGTAAGTGCTGGCTTCTGTTTTAACAGTCACAACTCGTACAACACCATCTTGGCCCGGGTGAGTTTCAATAACTCTTCCCAATACCCAATGCAACGGTGGAGTGTTATCTTCTTTTAGAACCACTAGAGTTCCAATGGTTATATTTTTGTTCGCATTTTTCCATTTGGTGCGAGTGTTGAGCTCGTTTAAATATTCTTTGTGCCATCTGGTCCAAAAGTGTCTCCTTAGTAATTGTGAATGTTGCCATGCAGATAGCCGGTTGATGGGCGTGTTTCGGAAGTCAGCTTGAGGAAGGCTTGTTAGTGGTTCACCAATCAGAAAATGTCCAGGAGTTAAAGGTCTGTGATCATTGGGATCAGAGGATAAAGGAGACAAAGGACGAGAATTTAAAACAGCCTTAATTTCAATTGCATAAGTCTCGAGTTGATCATATGTTAAAAGAGTGTCGCCGACGGAGCGTAAAAAGTGATGTTTGAACGATTTCACGCCAGCTTCCCACAGACCGCCAAAATGAGGAGCGCGCGGGGGGATGAAACTCCACATGATTTTACTATCATTTAAAAATTTCTTGATATCTTCATTATGTTTTTCCGATTGCAGAAGTTCTTGCAACTCCTTGAGTTCGCGGTCAGCACCTTTAAAGTTTGTTGCATTATCTGACATTAGAGAAATCGGTTTTCCTCGACGTGATATGAATCGACTCAGAGCTTCGAGAAATGACTCAGTAGTGAGATCATTTACTACTTCTAAATGCACAGCTTTACATGCGAGACAAACAAAAATCGCAACGTAACATTTAACTTTACCACGGTTTCGCAATCGCTTTTCCTTTATAAAAAAAGGGCCACAATAATCTACTCCTGTATGTAGAAAAGGACGAACAAATTCTACGCGTTTTGCAGGTAAGTTTCCCATGACGTAATTTATATCGCGTGGTTTTGCGCGAAAACAAGGCATGCATTGATGAATAATTTTTCGCGTGGTGTTACGTCCGTCAATGGGCCAATATAATTCCCTGACCGAATATAGCGTAGTCTGTATACCAGCATGGAGAAGTTTAACATGTTCTTCGCGCACGATAAGAGTAGTTACATGATGATTTCGCGGAAGAAGAATTGGATGTTTTTGTTCAGGTTTCAGGTTTGAATGTTCTAACCTTCCACCGACTCTAATAATTCCTTCATCAAGAAAAGGATTAAGAGATTTTATCGGGCTTTTAGAATCAATTTCCTCTTCTCGAGACAAAGCGGAAATTTCTTTAGAAAAATCTCTTTTTTGAGTTAATCGCACTATTCGATTCAAAGATAAATTAAGTTCGTCTTTTGTTAATTCGTCAATTTGTTTGTCTTTTCCTTTTGCATTATGTGCAAAACGAAGGCAATAAGCAATAACTCTGACGAGAGTTCTGAAAGACGAAAATTTTTCAAGAATGTTTCTACCTGAAACGATTATGTTCATAACCATTTGAACTGGTTTTTGAATTTTCATCTCAGGAATGCTTTCATTTTTTAATTCAAGCGACGGCCAGTGATTTTCAGAAAGAAGGAGATATTGAGGACCGTTTGACCAAAGGGTGTCTTTTGCAAATTCTTTTGGCCATTGACCACGTGATATGAGGTCAGCTGGATTTTCAGAGGTAGGTACATGTTTCCAATGCCGAATGTCGGTAAGCGTCTGAATTTTTGCTACACGATTAGCGACGAATGTTTTAAGCAAATGTGGTTGGGTGTTAATCCAATGAAGTGTAATAGTGGAATCGGACCAAAAATAAGTATGATCAAAATTGATTTTCAAAGTATTTTGAACTAAATTTTGGAGTTCCGCGAGTAATAGTGCCGAACAAAGTTCTAATCTAGGTAACGAGATTGTTTTGACGGGTGCGACTCGGGATTTTGAACACAAAAGGACTACCTGAGCTTGTCCCCTTTCATCAATAGAGCGAATATAAAGACACGCCCCATAAGCCTTTTCACTCGAATCGCAAAATCCGTGAAGTTGCAGATTTTTAGCATTTGGGGAAATAGCACATCTCTGAAATCGAAGCTGATTAATACAGGGTAATTGATCAAGATATTCGCGCCAAGATGTTTCAATAGAAGTTGGAATAGTTTCGTCCCAATGGATATTTAATTTCCATAACTCTTGCAACATAATTTTTCCTGGAATAATAACAGGACCTAAAAGACCATAAGGATCAAAGATTTTTGCAACTTGTGAGATGATTTTTCTTTTGGTTGTTTTACTGTTAGATTCAGGTAATTTTACAGTGTAAGAAATTGTGTCTTCCTTAAAATTCCAATGAACCCCTAGTGTCTTCACTGAGTCTGAAGAATCAAGAGCCATAAAGGGATTATCCCTGGAGTTTTCAAGATCTGACACAATAGAAGGGTCATTTGAAGCCCATTTTCTGAGACAAAACCCACCCTTTTTAAGTAGTTCAATAAGGTCGTCGCGCAATTCAACAGCTTCCTTTTTTGTGTTTGTACCTGTCATTAAATCGTCGACATAAAAATCATTTTTTAAAACTTCCGATGCTAGAGGATATTGTAAACATTCGTCATCAGCTAATTGGTGTAGAACTCGAGTGGCTAAAAAAGGGGCACTCGCCACACCAAATGTTACTCTATTTAGTGAGTAAATTTTGATGGGTTTATCGGGAGATTCTCGATAAATGATTTTTTGAAATGAAGTATCATCAGGGTGCATCTTTATTTGGCGATACATTTTCACGATGTCAGCAGTTAAGACAAATTGTCGAGAACGGAACCGTATTAAGTGACTAAAAAGGTCGGGTTGAATTGTTGGTCCTACCATTAAGGCTTCATTCAGTGAAACACCAGTTGGAGGCTCTGTCGATGCATCGAAAACAAGTCTAGATCTTGTCGTCAGACTCTCTTCTTTAATAACCGCGTGATAGGGCAAATAAAATCCAGAAGAGTGATTTAATTGATCGTCGGGAACTAGCGTCATGTGGTTAAGAAGTTCATATTCTTCAATTTGTTCCTTACACGATTTTTCGAGATCAGGATCTTTACGAAATCGATTTTCTAAAGAGAAAAAACGGCGGAGAGTTGTGTTAAAGGAGTTTCCTATTTGTTCCCTTTTGTCATTAAAAGGAAGCCTAACAATATAAGAACCGTCAGAATCTCTTATTGTATTTTTTGCAAAATGTTCTTCGCAGGCGATTTCTTCGGGAGAACGAATTTTGGAGTTCGGTAGTTCTTCCACTTCCCAGAATTTTGTTAATTGTGATTCTATAGAAGAGTTGCGAGTAAAATTACATTGTCTCGTTTGTGTTGAAGAGACTGATTTTCCGTATATTTCTCCAGCAATTATCCAGCCTAATAAGGTTTTCTGTAAAATTGCTGGATGATTCTTTAATCGAATCTGACCAACACAAAGAAGATTGTAAAATAATCCCACTCCAATGATGCCATCTAAATTACCTGATTGTTCAAATTCAGGATCAGCTAAAACAATGTTTTTTGGGATTTGCAACGAGTTTCTATCTATGCTGAGAGTAGAAACAGAAGAATTCAAATTTTCGATAATTAAAAATTCAAGAGATTTTTCAAATTTACAGAATCTTGATTTTATTACAGCATTCGTTGAATGACGCACAGTCGTATAATTGGTACCTATACTTAAAACATTAATATTTACCGGACTGCGAGGTAAGTTTAAATGTGTAGCAACTGATTCTGTGATATAATGCGATTGGGACCCGCTATCTAAAAGGAATCGACATTGTTTAATTTTATTTTCCTGACTGACTAATTCAACTACAACAGTGGACAATAACATTTCCGAAGAATTATTGTTACTAGGCAGGTAATTTAAATTTGTCGACTTACATATATTCGAATCATTCTCGATAAGACCTTTATTTTCAAAATGTAAAAGAATGTTATGTTTCTTTTGACATTTCGCGCAAGGCTCTCCTGTACATTTGTTAGTACGATGAGATGATTGCAAACAATTAACGCATAAGTTTTCTCTTTTAACAATTTTAAAACGGTCTGACGGAGAAAGATTCAAAAAAGAATCACAAGAAATGAGATCGTGTTGACCTTTGCAATTTTGACATGAAGTCGGTGAAGTCTTAGACAAAAATAATTTTTGATTTGAACGATTATTATTGTTAGGTCGCGAGTTAGATTGCGGTTTTCTTTCATGCGATATATTATGTTTATTGCGAATTTGAGCTGATCTTGTTGCATCTAATTGAGCTCGTTTTTGCAGAAAAGATATGAGCTCGTCTAATCCCGGACAAACATTTTCACAAGAGAATTCATCCCACCTTTCTGCAGTGTTTGAATCCATCCTGCTTCTAATTAACACAATCAAAAGACTACCCCATTGATCAACAGGTTCCTCAAGAACCTTTAACGCTCTTATATGCTTTTGGACATGATTCAGAAGTTCGCGCAATGAGAATTCCTTGGACATGTATGGAACGTTCAAAAGATCTTGTATGTGATTTTGTTTTATTAATTTTCGATTATCGTAAGTTTCCTTTAAGCTTTCCCAAGCAACTAAATAATTTTCTCCCGATAATTGAACCGACGCGATAACTTCGGCGGCTTCTCCGGTTAAACAATTTTTTAAATATCTCAATTTTAAAATTGGAGCTAATTTGGAATTGTTGTGAACCATGGAATAAAATACGTCATAGAAACCTAACCACGATTCATAGTTGCCGTTAAACGAAGGCAACCCTAGTGAAGGCATTTTAAAATCGTCTGATATTTCATTATTGGACGAACTAGTGTTAAGTGGATTAATCAAGGGATTTGTGATTTGACTATGAATTCCGTTTTCAACATTTGAAGGAGTAGCAGACGATGGCGAAACCTCTGTGTTGATTGGCGTTAATATACTAAACATTTTATCATAAAGAGCAAAATATCTGTTTTCAAAGTCGTTTCTCGCATCTTCGTCGATTCCATCTTCATTTAAAGTTCCCGAACCGCCCTTTTCTATTATTGTTTGCCATTTTTCAAAGTCACATAAGTTTCCTTCAAAATCTTTACTTTGTCTTACAAGAGAGTGATATTTTGTAGGATTGTAACTATCAAGAAATTTTTCAAGATTTGTTAATTTACGTTTAAGATTTCCACGCTCCTTTTTGGCGGTTGTAAGATCTACATCGGTTAAATGTACAGTCGCGTTACCGTTGTTTGGAATTTCCGAATTACTACCAGGATCAGTCATTTTGATTAACAATTGAAATTGAGTAATAAAGGAAAATATTAGAATGTAAAAGGATAGATTGGCAAACTGACTCACTCACCGCTGATAACGTCTAAATAGCTTGACTTAAGATGATGATATGTATCCTTGACTTACAATCACGTTCCACAAATCCAAATTTTGATTCCGGTGATGGAGGTAATGCACTTTACAGAACCATTTAAACGAGTCTCAAACACATTTCACTTGTAACTCACAGTTTATTAGTCTATATAGCACTCAAATGTAAAGTTTTAAAGTTCACAAAGTCACATACGATGGTTATAAATATAACGATGAGATAACACTAGAACTTCCGTTACTGGATATATTTAATTTTACGAATTTACTACAATAGCGTAAATCCGGCTCGAAGGACCAAAATGTTAGGTATCAAGTCTAGTTTGACTTGAATTTGAATTTAATAAGTTATAAAATGACTAAAATTATGTCATTTGGAATGTTGGGTTGAAAACACATTAAAAAGAAAGAAAACATCATAGATTAATACATATATTTTAAATACAAGGTTACAAAACTTATAAATTTCCGTAGATTTTATGTATTAGATGTTTCTATTTTAAGGGATAAAAGTGTTCTGTTTTACAATTTTGCAAGTGTCAGTGTAGAATTTGGTGGAGGAGGAAATATATTAGAGAAGGGATGAATCGCTGAGGGGCGGATACCTTAAGATGATGAGAGGAGTGGTCATTTTAAGGGTTTATAAGTTGTTTTTACAATTCAAGTGTTTTTCTTAGGTAGGAAGGAAAGATCATTTGGACGTGATATATCTTTATGAGCCTTTTTAGAAACTTAATCCTAAGAAAGAATTACAGATTTTATGATTTTATTGCAGTATGAAATGGTATTATTTTTCATATGCTTACAAATAGAAAATTGAAAACATTTTTAAGGAAAAAGAGAATTAGATATTTTAGTCTCTTCCTAAAATAACATTTTGCGGAATTTGTACTTTACAATAAAGTAATAAACTTGAAAGGTTGAATATTTTGGGAAACTATAATATGTTTTTTTTTTATTATTTTACGGTGGAGAGAGTTGTACCTTTTTAACTATCGTAACACTATCTTTTTGCACATTTACACTGATAAATTTCAACTTTTGAAAATTTAAGGTCCACTTGAGAAAATCTAACCCCCCAACAACACGACTTGATTCCAACAACTACATTGGTGCATAATGTTCAATGTTGTTGTGACAACCACAAATGTAGTTGTCCCGTATTTTACAATTTATTGTGGTTGTGGCAACCATATTTATGGATACCACAAACATAGAGTTTTTTCCGTGTGCTTACCTACTTATTTGCTTACTTCCTAATTTCCTTCTTACTTACTTGCTTGTTTCCTTTCTGCTTACTTGCTTACTTTCTTATTTCCTTCTTGCTTACTTTGCTTACTTGCTTATTTCCTCCTTGCTTACTTTGCTTACTTTTTTATTTCCTTCTTGATTACTTACTTTCTTATTTGCTTACTTTCTTACTTGCTTATTTCCTTTTCGCTTTTTAATTCCTCACAATTATTATTTAATATTTCAGAAAGATTAATTTTCTATTAATTAATTTAATAATTTCCAACTTGCACTTTTAATATGTATATTTTTAATTTTAAACACAAAAATTTGAGAATAATAAGGATTTTCATAAATTATTGTTTTATTTCATTAAATACAAATTTAAACATTTTTCTTTATAATAATAAAAACATAATTAAAAAATATTTCATAAATTGACCTTGAATATAGTTAGAAATGATTCATTAATATAAATAATTTTTAATTTTGTACAACGATAGTTTATTAATTTGAAACTTTCTCACAAGCGGTGAAATAAAATTGAGATTAGTATATAAGGACAGTTGAAACTTTCTGAAGCATTAATGTAAAGCGTGCGATGTGTGTATTAGTGTATGCGTTTAGAATGTACTGTAGGCAGGTGTATCAATTAGTATTTGTTCGTAAACAATTGTAGGGGGTTTAGGTAGTGATTAAAGTAGGTAAATTGAGAGTTACGGCAGTATTAATATAGATCTATTGAAGTAACATTATTTTTTATTTTTGTTCTTCAAGTTTTACCGAACTTTCAGTAAATTGCAACTCGTCAGTTTTACCGAAGACTTTATCTTACGTTTTACCGAACTATTCAATAAATTGCAACTCGTCAGTTTTACCGAAGACTTTATCTTACGTTTTACCGAACTATTCAATAAATATAAATGTAGCGAGCACTTGGCTTACGTTTTACCGAACTGTAAGTGAAGCGCTAATACATGTATCGTGAGCTTTATGATTTTTACATTATTTTTCAATGCAATTTCTTTTACAGTCTAGTTCTTAAAAAATTACTGTTTTGACAATTCATCCCAGTTTTACCGAACTAAATTCAGTAAAATTTCAGGAATAAATTTTCTCCGTGCACTCATGAAAAAAGGGGCGTCCTGATACTCACGCACGGTATAAGTGTATATATCGGAACTAAGAGGAACTGTCAATTGAAAGTAACCACAAGAATAAACACTTTAACGAATCATGTAAAAACCAGTGAAAAAAATAGCTTACAAATATTTTTGACATAGAAAACTTGTTTTTACATAACCATAAAAGAAGGTCAGTGGAAATATAGAAAAATGCAGAATAGAAATAGTTTAGGTATATTGGGGGAACTGTTAAATAAAGTTTTCTTGAAGCTAAAATAAAAAATGTGATTGTAAATTGTTAATTAAAAGCTTTATTTCATTGTTTCTCATCAAACAATCACAAGAATGCGTAAAGTAACCATTTTACGCACCGAAAATCACTTTGCACACTGGAATTACTTTACACACCGCTATAAAAATAAGTACTTATTACACACAGTTTTCTGTGTGTAAAATTCAATTTTACAGGTTAGTGTTGCAAAAAATATATTATTATTTTAGGAAAAATACGAATTTATGATTACAAACATATTTTCCAAATTGTATTGAGTTTTAACAGTACATTTTTTAACAAAAATCTTTGAAAATTTTAAAAATACTACTTTAAGGTGTACTTTTTATGACAAAATAATTCCTTTTTTAAAAATATGAAATTTTTTTGCTAATTTTTGGCCTCTCCTGGCCCACTGTACATGGCCTTAAAAAAATGTTTCTGAAAAACGTTTCACTTTAAGGATCAGATGCACAATACTGAAGTTTGGAATTATTTTTACACGTTAAAACGTAATTTAAAAAATATTAATAGACAAATTACATATGATTATTTAATAAAAAAACATGAATCCTGAAGTCTGGACCAACGGAACTAAAATTCTATGTAATCAATAAGTATAAAAATTGTATTATTCATCGAAAACAATTTTTTATTTCATTAAGAAAAATATTAATTGTAATTAATATATATGACATTCTTAATGCACTGTTAAAAAGAAAATTCTGTATTTCATGTTATGAAAAATTAAAGTGTTTGAGATTAACATACATACGAATCAGCATTTATAAGCGGATCCACCCTTCATGTATGAGAGCATCAAATTACATCATTTATATACACATAAGTTTTATAAATGAACACTCAAAAGCATTACATAATGGTGAAACGCAAGAGAAATATATGTAACACTTCGACAGCAAAAGTTGATTGACAAATTTCAAATTAAATTGGGAGATTTTCGTGACGAGACATTAATCCATTATAGTTTCAAAGGGGGAAAAGTAAAATTCACATCAAAGTCAAATAAATTAAAATGTTTAAGTTTTAAATATTGACGTATATGCAGTTATACCATGTACATATTGTATATGAAATTTCCTAGAGAAACGATCGCTTTAAATCAAAATTTCAACAAACATTAGGTATGTATTAACACATAGTAAAATAGGGGAGAGTGGGGCAAGATGGGGTACTTAAGGTTTAATGCGCAATAAAAATGAAATTATAGAATATATATTTTATTTTTTTTTAATAATCATCTTTGGGAATCTGTTACTTAAAAAAGCATAAAATTAACTATTAGGAAAAATTGCAAATCTCCCCATCTTGCCCCACCGGCTGGCAAGATGGGGTACCCTAAGGGATAAGATGGGGTACTTAAAAAAGCAACCTATTTCTATGTCGACAAATTTCACACACGGAGAAAAATGGAAAAATGATTTATGCAGTCAGTGTAGTACTCCTTTATAGAATAATATGTGACAGGTACACACTATAGTATTAGAAGTTTCATAGCTGAACACTTTGGGACTCAACACAAGTTATCCCATTCATCAGCTTAAACAAGACTGTTTATATAGTCTAAGAGGGAATAAGAGTATAAAAAATTGGAATGAGAAATTACTTTCTCATGTAATTGTTAAAAGAACGCGGCAGTGTACAAAACACAAGTCAATAATAGAAGCGAATATTGAACAAATAGTACTCAGTCCAGTTCTTTCGAAAAATGAACGCCGTGCACATAAAGTAGATACCTACTCGAAAACCACAAGTTATTCTCTCTCTCTCACACTAATGGTCGTTCACTTATCTTACCGTTTCACTTACTCTTACTACTCTCAACTATTATGCAGTGCAGTTAAGTTCATTAAATTATTAAATATTGCTGTGAGAATAATTAATTATACATTTCATTCAAGGTCAATTCACTATTTTTTACCCGAAAAAAAAGAATAATCAAATTTACCATGAGGAGAGTCAAACTTGAAAAAGGTTAAGAAAAAATTAATGTTTTTTATTTATTTATTATTAAATTCTAATAACCGTATCAAATTTAAACTAGTTGACAATATTATTTATTCAATATTATGAATATTGTTGACATCCATACTTACATCAATAACAAAGTAAAAACCACGCACGATATAATTTATTTCATTGGTAAGGGATGTTTCTTAAATAGGAAACTTCCCCCATCGATTGCGTAGCCGAGAGGCTTAATGTAAAAGCGTGCGATTTATAATTATATGCGTATATTTAGTTGTATGACTTCA